TATTCCCTAATACAAACACAGATGTGAATTTTGGAGACCTTTAACCTTGGTTTAGTTCCCTCTGAGCATTTATCAGACTATGCACACTATGCATTGTAATGTAATTACTTGTATACTTATCTAACCTCTTTCATCACGTATTTACTGAGTATCTGCTACATTCCTGAAATTACCCAAGAGCTAGAATTTTATTGTTAAATTATCCCATTATCATTTTAAAATATGTAATATTCAAATGATAAATTTAAAATCTAGAGATATTCTATAGGCAGCAGGGCACAGTGGCAACACAGCTGTAATCTCAGTGACTCCAGGGAGCTGAGGCAGGAGGATCACAAGTTTGAGGCCAGCCTGGGCAATTTAGTAAGACTGTGAATCAAAATAGAATTAAGAGAACTGAGGATGTAGCCCAGTGGTAGAGTGTTTTCCTAGCATGCTTGAGGCCCTGGGTTCAAATCCCCAGTACAGAAAAAATTTTTCAAAGTCCTATATGCTTTTTACTTATTCAATCCTTAACATTTTGCTGAGGTATGACATGCCATAAAGTATAAAGTTCACAATTCAATGTTTCTTGGCATATTTAGAGTTGTGCAAACATCACTAAAATCTGATTTTAGTACATTTTAATCACCTTTTGTACCTACATCAGCAGGCACCCTACCAACCCCCCTTTCTTCCAAGGTAACCACTAGTTTTTCTTCTTTCTCTATAGTTAACTATTAACATTTTATAAGTGGAATCATATATAAAATGTGGCCTTTTGTGCCTTGTTTCTTTCATTTTGCATAATGTTATTGAAATTCTTCCACGTTACAGTATGCATCAGTACTTCATTTCTTTTTGTTGCCAATTAATATGCCACTGTACAGACACATCACTATTAATTCATTCATCAGTGGGACTTTTAGGTTGTTTCCACTTTTGGCTTATGAATAGTGCTGCTATAAACATGTGTGTATAAGTTTTGGGGTAGACATATGCTTTCATTTCTCCTGGATATACACTTAGGAAATGCTGGATCATATCACTCTGTTTAACACTTCAAGGAACTATCAAACTTCCGACATGACTGCACCATTCTACATTTCCACCATGGGGGTTCCAACTTCTTTACTTTTGTTTGAATCTTATAGAACAAGAACAATCCCACTACACAAAATCCTTACCTAATATTCTGATAGAACAAAACAAGAAATACACAGAATCAAATAAACAAACTGGCAATTTTTACAAAAATGAAGAAAAAACAGAGTAAATCAATCAGGAAGTAACCAAACAAGAGGGACTCTAGAATGATCACAAAAGACCTCTCTGCGAAAGTAATGCTGACCTGAAATGTGAAGAACTAACTGGAAGTGGGTATGTTATAGGAAGAGGAAATGGCAAGTAATAAAACTAAGTCTACATGTTTGAGAAGTAAAAATGTGCCAACGTGGATGAAGTATAATGAAAAGGCAAAACGCGCAAATTAAGTTAGGAAGGTAAGCAGAGGCCAGATAACCTTAGGTCTCACAGATTAGGATAAAGTCTTTCAATTTTGCCTAAAATGCCATAATCCTTTTCTAATCTCTTATCTTTGTTTAAATATGGGTGCTCATTTCTGCAAACATTTACTGAACTTTCATGTATCTTCTGATCACACACACATTAGCAAATATTAAAGAGACTTTTTAGGTACATAAGCATCATTCATTTAGTATCATTATTTAGAGGCCAAGAAAGAACACCTAAAATATGGCTTCCAATGGCATTTTGGTAAAAAGGTACAACCATATGCATGAATCCTCACAAATTTATCTCCTAAAGTCTTAACCAATTTAAGAAGAAAGCCTTACTGACAATAATTTGCAGCTCTCTTAGATTATCAAGATCATATTTCAATAAAGTCAATTAAGAATATAGCTTAAGCTTAGTCTCATAATTTAAACCTATATTTCATTCTCATAAACTGAATTACACTTAACTGGTTTTTTTTCCATTCTATTAAAAATTCAACCTTAAACCTATGAGTAAAAAAATAGTCTACATGTTTATACTGTTTAAATCCCCCTCCACCCCAGTACTAGGGATTTAAACCTGGGGTGCTCTACCACTGAGCTACATCCCCAGGCCCTTTTATTATGTTTTATTCTGAGACAGGGGTCTTGCTAAATTGCTAAGGCTGGCCTAGAACTTCCACGGTCACACTGAGATTACAGGTGTCAACCATCATGCCTGGCTTTTTTTTTTTTTGAGGTGGGGTCTCATTATGTTGCTCAGGCTAACTTTGAACTTCTGAGTCTCCTGCCTCAGCATTCCAAGATATGTGTCATCTAGTCCTAATTTGAGTCTTTTAAAATAAGTTTTTTTTCCTCTGCATATTACAGCTATGTTCAGGATTTTCAAAGAGGAAAAAAAATATTTTCAAAACTCTAATGAGGGGCTGGGGATGTGGCTCAAGCGGTAGCGTGCTCGCCTGGCGCGCTTGCGGCCCGGGTTGGATCCTCAGCACCACATACAAACAAAGATGTTGTGTCCGCCGAGAACTAAAAAATAAAAATTAAAAAATTCTCTCTCTCTCCCACTCTCTCTTTAAAAAAAAAAAAAAAAAAAAAACTCTAATGACATAAAAGGTCACTCTGATAAAAGAACCTGTTACCTAGTCAAAACTTATCAAGTTAAAACTCCTTTCTAGGGCTGGGGATTGATTTCCCATGGTTCTCCTTCCAGGCACTCTGCTTCTGCCAAACCAGACTGCTTGCTAGCCTCTTGGTACTTGTCCCCCGACATCTCAGGTTTATAATCCACATTCCCCACCAGGAGAAATCCAACCAGTTCTTCAAGGTCCAGAACACACACTCTTCCCTCCTAGTCTCTTCTCCAGTTCTTTTACCTGAGTATAACTGATTCTTCATCTCTGTGTTCCAGTAGCAATTTCTACAACTCACGTGTTGCCTTATCATATTCCATCTGGTGCACAACTATAGTAAAGAAATCTGTGTCTTGGACAGGGTTGCCATCAACCACTCCCCTTGGCTCACCCCAAATACACAGTGTAACTAGTTACAACTAGGAGTGTTCAAATTTAAAATAATGCAGTTTAGCACCATTGGATTCACATAATACCAAGTCATTTCAAAAATTAAGCCCTCTGTGGAGACAAACTAAAGTAGAGGTAAATTTCCTTCCTTCCAAATTTAGACCTAACTCTTCAGTAACTGGTTATTAATAACAACACAATATCACTCCTTATTTAAATGAAACTTCTCCACTTTCATTACCTACACAAGAATTATTCTTGAAATGCTATCTGAAGTTTGTAAGGTGTATTCTCAAGAATTTATGACGGTAAAGCTAGAGTTCAGAGAAGGTGAAAGATTTCCACAAGTTCACAGTTAATCATAGGACAAAATGTGATTCTATTACCTACCCACAAACATAAAGCACCTGAACATCAGTAACTTCAAAAGCATCTCGTGGACTTGGCATGAAGTAAACAAATATTTGAATTAATGAAGATGATTCAAAATTTGTAGTTGTGGCAGTTTTTTTCTTTCATCTTTTTCTTTTATTTACAAGTGAAAGACTAATTAATCCTTAATCATGCAGATCACATTAACAGATCATTTTCAAATTTACTATGCAGTTAACAGTTTGGAACACACATATAACAACCAAAACATGCTCTTAGCAATGGGTATGACAAACTCATCCACAAGAGTCACTTTTTCCTTATTTGTTCCCAGAAACCCAATAGACTAAACATTATAGCTGCTCCTATTTTCTAATTTCAACTTGCATTTAAGATAACGCTTTTGTTTCATTTACAGCTCACATGCTGCTGACACAGCTGCCCCTTCTTTGTAATAAACACAGGGCTTCTATATTTAAAAATACAGTGAAACTTTGTTATAACATCCCCTCCCCAGTCTCCGGACAATTTTCTCTCATCCAAGATCCACCTCCCCCCAGGACTTTTTAATCAGTGGCACTTAAAACATTGGTCTTTCGGAAAGTCAATTTTGTTCTTCAAAGTCATCTCATCACAGTGGTATTTTCCTTCTGCGTAGCTCTTTGTGTTTTAAGGGAGGGGGGGGAATCCTCTTCCCAAAGGCTCTCTCCTTAGGCTTGGGAGCGCAACAAGCGCCGGGAGCGTCAAGTGGGCTAACCTCGCACGCACACCCGGAGGGTGGGGGTGACGGGCAGCTGCGCCGCCGGGAAAGCGCGCCCCTGGGGCCGCTGCCCGAGGCAATGGGCGTTCCGGAGAGGGGGGGTCTCCTAAACAGCCGGCCTAAGGACAAGATCACCAACCCCGGACGCCCAGAGCAAGCACCAGAGCAGGGCAAAACCGTCCCGCGTCTCTCCCCCGAGGAGTCAGGAGGGGGTGGCCAAGCAGGGTGTGGGCGCGAGGGGGGCCTGGGGAGGAGATAAGGCGAGACCCGAGTTAATCATCACCTCCCCGAGCGTCTGGAAAACTACGGGCAGGGACTGGAGGGGCGGGGGAGCAGCGCCGGAGAAAGTGAAACTCCCCGACCATCAGACACCTTGAGCTAGAGGGACCCAGAGCAGGACCTGGAGCCTCTACGTTCCTCCAGCCCGCACGGCTGGGGACTCCTGGTCTCAAAGGAGCACCCCAGCTTTGGACGCCTCTAACAACTACATCAATGCTTCTCTTATACAAACTGACCCGCACAAGGGACGGGCGTCAATCTGAATCACTGGAAATAAAACAGCCCCCCAAACCTTTGCCTTCAAAAAAACGAATACACTGTTCCCATACCGGGAGTCGAACCCGGGCCGCCTGGGTGAAAACCAGGAATCCTAACCGCTAGACCATATGGGAAGTGCTGCTACAGATACCGTCGCGACCCACCTGACAAGCGTAAGCGCTGCTACCGCCTTCACTACGCCGCGCACTGCCGCCTTTACTCCAGCGGCTGCCGCCCGCTGCCCACGCGCGCGGGAACGAGCCCGGCCAGAGCGCGCAGCCCGAGCGGGGGAGGGGCGGGGCCGCGCCTCGCCGCGCCACAGGAAAGTTCTAAGGCAAAGCCGAGACTCGCGGGGGTCCCAGAACCAACTCTTTCACCTTTCTTTTTTTTAACTCCGCCAACGGCCCCCAGCCCACAGGTCCGGGTTGCTCCGTTGGTCAAAGTGCGTGCGGACTAGTTGGCAAAGTTGAGAGCGACGACGTCTCTGGGAACAGCTGTTTGCGTTCAGGGCGGAGGCGGCGTGCAAGCTCCTTGGCCGCAAGCCTAGAAGGAGAGTGGAAGTTCTGGATCCCAGGGGAGGACAGAGAGCAGACGGGCTGGCGCGGGGGCTTGAAGTTTCTGTGTTTCGGCTCAAGTCCCGTCGCGCTTTCGCTCCTTCTTCGTGACCTCAACTCCTTTATATCGACCCCACCTCTCAAGATTTTAGAGTACCGCCCCTGTAGGGGGAGGGGAGGAGGAGGAGATTTCGAACGCGGACTGAGTCTTCTGGGCACCCGTAGTTGGGAACTGTGGAACGCTGGTCTCAGGGAAGGTGGGAGGTGTCAGAGCTGAGAGTGAGGTTCGTGTGGGCCTCGCAGCTGGCCGGGCTGACTCTCTCCGCTTTGAGTGTATGTGAGTCGGATCCCCGGCGACGCGTGGAGCGGCAGGCGCAGTCATGTGAGTCGGGTCTCAGGCTCTGAACAACGAGGTGTTGTTTCTCTGGACATCTTTTTCCCTCCGGGTCCCTCCGCTGCCGCCACCCACTCCCGCCCTTCGGGCCGGGGGCGTGACAGACGCGCCCTTAACTCGCTCGGGTCCAGCAGCAAGACCTGCAAGGCCGGTTCTTTGGGCGGGGTAGAAGTGCTACCCTTAGGAGCCACCTGAATGCCGCTGCACTGAGTCTAAGCTGGGAGCCTGCGGCCCGTTGAAGTGGCAGGTTGCACTGCAGAAATGGTTGCAGCTTAGGGCTCCTTCTTTCTACGTTGTCTTGGGGGTCGCCGGCGCCCTTTCTGGTTCCTTAGCGCTTGAATCCTGGGGTATTGTGAAACTTTGGTGTTGGGCTGCGGCCACCGTTGCAGTCCTCGCTCACGAGAAGCGGCCAGCCTTAGACAGCATAATGACTTTCTTTTGATCGCATTCTGTGAGATCCCGTTGCTTTTCCAACTCATCCCGAAGCTCAAGAACAAATTGTATTAACTGATACTCTCGAAGGAGCCACGTCTTTCCCCAGAGTAGACTTATGCTTGTTTTGGTGAATATGACATTTAAGGCATACTTGAGTTTCTGTAGGCCTCCGTTATAGCATCCTCCCAAAAAGTTGGAATGGAACGTAAAGAATAAATATTTTTCTCTTGAGATGTTCCTTATTTCCTCATACTGACGCTAGTAACAAAAAAGGAAAATTTTAAAATTATTTTTCGAAGTAGTTTGTAAGTCCTGTGCTGACTTTTTCTACTCTATTGACAACAGAATCTCAGTTAATTGCTTCAGCCACATAAGTAATAAAATAGGGAGCTTTGTTAACAAAAACGTTCAGTAGCCAACACTTATCTTTCAAACTCCAAAAAAGAGGTTAAAAAAAAGTGAATTTTTACCTTTTTAATTTTTGGATGAGCTCACACTTGTTTTCCTTTTTTCAGGGCCGACTACTGGAAGTCACAGCCAAAGAAATTCTGTGATTACTGCAAGTGTTGGATAGCAGACAATAGGCCTGTATGATGATACCACTAACTCTAATAGTATTCATGTGAATAATATTCATGTGAAGTGCTGCTTTTAGATCAAAGTCCATTTCTTTTACATTGCTCTGATTATTCGTAACATCAAAAGATTTCTGTTGTCATGTTATTCTGCTTATGAAAGCTATAAGCCTTCCTTTTTATCAATTAAATTTGATTATGAAGTCAATTATTCTGTGGACTTTCAAGAAATGGACATGAGTGGGTAATTTCATCCATGTTTATGAAACATCTGTGTTGTAATGGTGGTGCTTATAATGCATACAGAGTGAACGTGAAAAACTCAAAATATAAAAAGATCATTATTGTGCTTTTTCTTGTATATTTCTTGCTCTACATGTAATTAAATATATATGATGCAGAGTTTTAAATTTGAAAGATCATTATTATTCCATCATAAAATATAAAAATAATAACTGTTAAGTGCATTATTATCATCTTATAGTCTAGGAGCAACTTTTGTTTGTTTTGGATATTAGGGATTGAACCCAGAGACACTTATCCTCTGAGCCACATCTACTGCCCTTTTTATTTTGTATTTTGAGACAGGGTCTGGCTAAGTTTTCTAAGTCCTTCTCTAAGTTGCTGAGGCTGGCTTTGAACTTATCATCCTTCTGCCTGAGCCTACTGAGCCACTGGGATTACAAGCAGTGCCTCAGCTTTGATCCAACTTTTAAGACATAAAAAACACATCACCGATTTTGCCCCCTTTCTGCGTATCATAATATTATGTACTTTCTACATAAAAACCAGAATATCAAATATACATTCAAATGCTTTTTAATTGACAGAGTTGGACACACAAAAGAATAGTCCAATCTTTAACAATGCTGTATTTCTTTAGTATACATTTACATTGTCTATAAGGTATTAGTATTTTTGGTTGGTTGAGGTTTTTGTTATTGTTTTTCTCTTTCGGTGTATTTGAATACTTTGCCAAAGTTCTTAACTTTTTTTTTGAGTTAGACTGTTCTTATAAATAAATGTCATGAATTTTTAAAGTGAAATTTCTAAAATTTGATTTCATGCAAATCACAGAAAGTTTTTTCCTTAGAGGCAGTAAAATGAATATTATGAGTTAGCTAGTGTAAATAATCCCTTCCAGTACAGTCTGTCTTCATCTTCTTGAATTGCTGACACACACTGATTTAGCCTTTAATTAGAAACAAAATTAATTTAATTTTAATGGTCTTTCAATATTATTATTTATGTGGTATAATCAACTTTAGGAAACCCAGTATAAGAAATAGAGATGATTATTTACAAAGTCACACTTCAAAGAGGAATTCACAGTATTTTAGAATAATTCAGTGTTAATGCATAAGATTTGATAGACAGAACTTGATTTTGCTGAGTTTACCAGGACTTTCTTCCTGCCTACTACCAGATACTTGTAACTGAGGGCAAATTTTTGGTTGTTTAAATAGATAATAGTGCTTACTCTCTGATCCATGTCCCCAACTGTCATTGCACATAGTTTAACTTTTGGGTTTTTTTTTCACTTTCTTACCTATTCTTTTGTCGTTTCCACGTGTATATAGGTATGGGTTCTTATTCAAGTACGCATAAAAGGTAACATTGTAGATGTAGTGTTTTGGACCATATTTTTAAAAATTGACAATATACTCTGGAGGTCTCTCTAGTTAGAGAATTTGTTTTCTATTATAGCAGCCTGTGGGATTGTACCACGATTTAGTTACAGTGCTGCAGTAAATAACCTCATATATAACCTCATTTTGAACTGAGCATCATTGCAACTGTAATTCCAGTAACTCGGGAGGCTAAGGCAGGAGGATTGCTAGTTCTAGGCCAGCCTCAGTAATTTAGAGAAACCCTATCTTAAGATTTAAAAAAAAAAAAAATGGAAAGAAGTAAGTATGTAGCTCAGTGGTAGAGTGCTCCTGGATTCAATTTCCACTACTCCCCCCCAAAAACCAAACCATTTTGTACATGTGCAAGCTTATCTATGGAATAAATTCCCAGAAATGGGATTGCTGGGTCAAAAGAGAAATGTATGTATAATTATGACGGATATTGCCAAATTGTCCTTAATGGAAGTTGTACGTTTTACATCATTATCATATTGTATAAAAATATGTGTTTATAATTTTAAATGTCTATTTTTCTTAAAATTTTGAGGATTAATAGTGGCTTTAAGGAACATTGTTCTTTATGTCTCTTATTTAATATAACAAATACAACAATAAAATTCTAGAGGCTTGATGGTTTTGACATTTGATGTTTGAAGGTGTTTCTTTAAAATTTTTTTTAACCCTTTTGGCTTCGTGGCCTTTTTGAGTCTTTATTACAATCATATTTACAAGATCAGTCATCACTGGTACCTTGTATTTTTCTCCCATTAATATGATCATTCTGTTTTATTTTAAGAACCAAAGGATTTCTAGGTTCAGTTTCTTAGGGGCTTTTTTTTTTTATCCCAAAAGGGCTAATTTGCCTGAAAATTAATGAGTTTTTATCTTTTTTGCCAGTCATTTTAATTTTAATGTTCTTATTTCCATCCTCACACTTACTATAATGCTTTATTGTGAATTTTATGCTGTTCATGTAATTTATCTTTATATTTTCTCTTTCTTATTTTCCAGAGTGTTGAATTTCATGAAAGGGGAAAAAATCATAAGGAAAATGTGGCAAAGAGGATCAGTGAGGTAATTTGGACTGATTCTCTGCTAATTTTTTTGTGCAAATGTCAATTCTTTATCTCACTTTCACTTTTATGTGTATCTTACATAGATTAAACAGAAAAGCCTGGATAAAGCAAAGGAAGAAGAAAAGGCATCAAAGGAGTTTGCTGCAATGGAGGCAGCTGCCCTGAAAGCATACCAAGAGGATTTGAAAAGACTTGGCTTAGAGTCAGGTAAAAAACAGCCTGCATGTTTTAAAGGTAACATCAGAGGTCATGCTGAGAGCTTTTATTGTTTCTGTAAAGAGGTTATGTACCCAGGGTATACTCTCAGTGGTTTTATTATGCATCATAGCCCTATTTAGATAGTAGGACTTGACTTTTGCACTTCTGTTTTACTTTTTTTGCCTCATCTATTAGTGCCTTCCTTCACATCAGCCAATCTACATTTGTGGTTACCTAGTCCTAGCTCTGTTCTAATTGAGTAGTTCATTTCATAGACACCATCAGGTTTTTTAGGTACTCTCGTTATTCAACTAAAAGCACTATTCATTAAAAAATAAACCTTGGGCTGAGGCTGTAGCTCAGTGACAGAGCACTTGCTTATCATGCGTGAGGCACTGGGTTTGATCCTCAGCACCACATAAAAATAAAAAAATAAAGGCATTAATTCTGTCCATCTACAACTCAAAAAAATATTTAAAATAAAAAAAAATAAACCTTGTATTAAAACTACAGTTCATTTTATCCATATGATAAAAACTATGAATCATATTTGTTTATATGGTTGAATATATGGTGAAATAGCCTTTTTGGACAAATTAACTGACTTTACTACTAGAGGGCATATTATTTTGAAGCTTTAAATATAGCCAAGTTCCAGGTTAAAAACATTATTTAACTAGAATGTGCCTATCTTGTCATTGCTCTAATTTGGGAAGTTTCTGTGAATATTTCTTCCATGACAAATCCATTGTCCATTAATCCAAGCATATAGTAAATCTCAGTTATTGATCTTGCATAGTGGTTGGGATAGTCAACATTCAGTAGTATCCTTTAATCTCTACTAAAAACAGGTTTCATTTAAGGTTTTGAGCAAAATACCTGTTAATGGGCGTTGCCTTCATTAAAGAAGAACAGTTGTAGTTAGACTTTAAAAGTATTATTGTGGACAATGATAGTTAAGGTGAGGGTGCCATGGTTCCTTAAAGATAAAGCATTTGATAGGAAAAAAGATGTAGGCAGTCCTGGAGAATTAGAGAATAGTAGTTGAAAAATGTAACTCTTGGGGCTGGGGATGTGGCTCAAGTGGTAGCGCGCTCGCCTGGCATGCGTGCGGCCCGGGTTCGATCCTCAGCACCACATACAAACAAAGATGTTGTGTCTGCCGATAACTAAAAATAAATAAATATAAAAAAAAAAAAAAATGTAACTCTTTATCAGTTACGTGAATTGAGAAATTCCATTATGTTGCCCTTTGACCAAATAAATCAGCATTCTATAAGTTAATGGATTTTTTCTATTGAATATTTTTCATAGCCTTGTTTTCCTAAATAGGATATTTATTTCTTTAAAAGTACAACAATGTAGTTTAAAAAAAAGACAACTTTTAAAAAATTTACTAAGTGCTATTAAGATTTCTCTGACATCCTTAGAACTTTTTTAATTGTACATTTTATGCTATGGTCTGTTTACAAGTTTTCCTCTCTTCCAGTAACAAGTTAAATACATCTTTTCTTTTAAACATTTACAGTTATAAATCATTTTTAGTGATTACAGAATGGTTAAGAACACAAACTTTAGAATCAAGCAATTGCTTCTCTCTAGTTATATGACCTTGGACTTTTACTAAATTTAAGTAACACTAGTGTACAAATTTCTTATTATAGTAACCATCCATAATAGTGTTTAATAAAAGGTAGCTATCTATACAGTGTATCATAATTTATTTAATTTCTTCATGTTTAACATTTAGATTGCTTACAGTTTTTCACTTTTACAAAGATGCTACATAATGGATCATTATGCATACATTTTTGCACATTTCTTTTTCTTTGAGGGTTCAATTTCTCAAAGTGAGACAATTTCTCAAAATGAGATTGTAATATCAAAGTGTGAGTATATCATATATATTGTAGCTAATATCCAGAAATGTTGGGCTGATTTACACTTTCACTAAAAATAAAATATTTATTAATGTGTTGGAAATATTGTCCAATCTTTTGGGAGAAAGTAAAGTCATAAAAACTACATATTTTTTCACATCTGTGTAAGTACCTGATAGATCAGACTAGGACTGGATTTGATCATTCTTTACAGTACTTACTGATCTCCTACAAAAATTAATTATATTTATTTGCATTTCTTTTAGTATTAGTGAAGGTAAATGTTATTCTCTGAGTTGCTTTTGTGCATTCTTGTTAGAATGTTTGATTTGTAAGGAATCTTTGTTAGGCATTAATTCATTTTATATTTTTAAGAATGATGTGATTCTTTTATACCTTTATTATATTTATTTATTTTTATGTGGTGCTGAGGATCGAACCCAGCGCCTTGCACATGCTAGGCAAGCGCTCTACCACTGAGCTACAATCCAGCCCATGCATTAATTCTTATATTCGTTGTATTTTCTCATTTGTCTTTCATGAAAAAAACATATATTTGATTTTTTGTTTTTATATTTGCCATACACAATGTCTTAATTTTTATGTGGTTGGATTTAACATTATTTTACTTTGTCTGTATGTGGTTTTATTTTGGGTACTGGGGATTGAACCAGAGACACTTTACCACTAAGCCACATCCCCAGCCCTTTTTATTTTTTACTTTGAAATAGATTTTCACTAAATTGCTTAGGGCCTCACTATGTTGCTGAGGCTGGCCTTGAACTTGTGATCCTCTGGCCCCAGCCTCTGTAATTGGGATTACAGCCATGCACCACCATCCTCAGCATGTGTGTTTTTTAACTTCATGTTCTTTTAGTAAAGTATTTTTGGTCTGATATTTATTTTCATGTAAAAGAGTGGAGAATAGCTTTTACTTTATTTTATATTGTTGTTGTTGTTTAAAAATTAACCAGTTATTCTAACATCTTCTATTATATGATCTTTTTCCTTCTAATAAAATATATCAGAAATTTGGAGTTAGCTCTATATCTGAACCATTCTGTTTCAGTCATGTCTTTGCCTGTTTCTGTATCATTTGACACTGCTGGATCCTCTAACATTTCACCCCAGTGCTGGGGATCAAACCCAGGACCTTAAATATGTGCCAGGCACTAAGACTGAGCTACATTCCCAGTCTTGGATCTTTTTTTTAAACCATAGTTTTAGAATAAGTTTTAATATAAAGTTGTACTAAATTCCCCTTACCACTTTTTTTTTTATTTTTCAGTGTGTTCTTGCATGATTATTTTTCCAAATCTTGTCAAACTTTTGATTAAAATAACATTATTAATATTTTGTGAAAGAAAAAAAAGTGAGGTTACTTGACAACTTTGCCTTTCTCTCATCCTTTTTTTTTTTTTAGAAATTTCAGAGCCAACCATATCACCAGTAACCCCCACTGTTCCACCCACCTCTGCATCAAATCAACAGAAAGAAAAGAAGAAGAAAAAAAAAGATTCTTCAAAGGGTAGATGGGTAGAAGGCATAACCTCTGAGGGTTATCATTACTATTATGATCTCATCACAGGAGGTAAGTCATTTAAGCATAGAACTAGTAGAAAATAGTTCCATTGGAACAAATAGTTTATTTTGTGTTAGGATTTTTATTTAATATTGGAACATTTTAAACAGTGAAAGACTATAACTTATTTTAGCCAAAAGGTTTAAAAAATTATGTGCCCTTTAAAAAAGTACCTTTCTCATTGTGACTCAATGTCATACTTAAGGTTTTAATAGCTTTATATTTTCTCAGTAAAATTTTCTGAAAATATGAACTACATGGAAATACGACTTTTTAATTCATTTTACAAATTGCAAGGTCCTTGAAAGGAAATGTTAAGATTTTCTAGCCAAAAGCAGTCTGGGAGCCAGAAACTGGTTTCTTTTTTTGTGTACTTGTCTTGATTGATATAGTAAACTCCCCCATTCATATTAATGTCAGATAGCAATTTCAAATGAAATACATAATGATGTTTTTCAGTGGGAATATCAAAAACATCTTTTTATTTTCCTTAAAAACTAAATATATTTGGGATTTTTCCTTCATATAAATTCTAGGAAAAATAACTTTATTTTATTATCCAGAAACAAAATTTAGTGACAGAAATAAATTTTGATTCCAGGAGGAACTTTCAAGTGTAGTAGTAAAGATTATATGGTATCTCAAAATAATGACTAATTAATTGTGATTATATGGATGTGAGAGATTATCACAGGAATTACTTTTGAGCTAATCTTGGGACATCAAGAATGGTGTCTTGCCATTTGTATCCCTACCACTTAACACAGTGCTTGCCTGGCGAAGTGCAAATACTCCATAAGTATTTTGAATGAATCCAAAGATTTCAATAGATTAAGAGGGTATAGCATTTCAACAAATGGAACAATATAAACTTTTAAAAAATTGAAAGTTTTAAGGCATAGAGAGTCTTTTGGCAGAGGTAAAACATTCATGTGGCAATTTTCAGTGGCTAATTGATAATTAGAATCTGAGTTAAGGAGCTAAATTGAGTTTGGGGTTGTAGATAACATATTTACCTTTAGGAGTATATGAAATTACAAACAATGGAACAAAAAGTAAAAACGGATGATTAGTATATATATTGAAGGAATGGATTGAAGAAAAGCCAGCAAAAAAAGTTCAGAATGATCAGGAAGGTTTGGAAATGAGATCAGAAAGTTAATAATGAAAAAAATTTGAAGTGACTATGTTGTCATAATTATGATTAGAATCATAATCAGTTTGGGACTACATAGAAATGGTGATAACAGTAATAATAATAGGTAATAATTTATACTGAGGCTTAAGTGAAATAAATAGTGTACAGCAATAAAGATTTCCCCAAACAATTAAATTCTAGGGATGAGTAGTCTTTCTCAGATTTACTTAAAAACATGTTATTCATTCTTTTCTCCCTTCTAAGGCATCATTTCTTCGCCTTTCTACTTTATATACTCTTGCCCTCAGTAATATTTGTCTTTAATTCTTTACTTCATCTTTTCCTCTTTCAAGTCACTGTTCATTCCATCGTCTCCCTTGCCCTAAGATAACAAAAAGCTATTCTCTTTCTAACCCAATCCTAAATTCCATGAAATCTTTGAAAGAAGCCTTATGTAGTTCTAATACATCCTGTGCAAGTTCCATGGGAATTAATGTTAGAGAGCCATCTCGTGAAGATAAAACATTCTAGTAACTTCTGATCTAGTAAATTCTGATCCTGTGATTTGTCGTTTCTTCTTGGTTACATAACACATATATTCTTTTGCATAATGTTGCTGGCATGTATGGGGCTTTTTTTTACATTTCAATTATGTTTTAAACTGTATTTCTATAGTGTTTTATACACAATGACTAGTTTGTAAATTTTTGCCAAATTAAATTCTTTGGAGTTTTTTTTTTTTTTTTTAAGCAAAAAGATTTTATAAATGCAATATATTTTGCTTTAAGCATCCCAGTGGGAGAAACCTGAAGGATTTCAAGGAAACTTAAAAAAGGTAATGGAAGCACATTCATAGTGTTTTTGCTTATTCTTTAAAGTGATTGACTTCTGGGGCTTTTACAGAGTTTTATTAAGCAAATTTTACTTCCAAATAAGCCTGCTACCCCAATCCCCACCTCTAACTTTGTTCCTTTCTTCCTGTAATCCTTTAAGTTAGAAGGCTGGGTGGAAATGAAACTGTTGTCTATTCAGAAACCCCATGCAGGGTGAATATTAATAGTTGTTTGCAGTTGGTTATCATTCACATGTCCTTGTCCATCTGAGAGGAATTCCTGGCTTTCAGAGGTGAGACATTCTCTCAGTTTGATTCATGATTAGCCAGAAATCAAGCTTCCTGGCCATCAGGGGTATCACTATACCTAACTTCCAGGTGTCGGCTGAAAAGGGAAAAGTGGCTAAATCTACCTTAATAATGCAATACATAACTATTATCATCATTATCTTCAATTTATTCTGTTTTTTCCCCCCATCCTATTAGACAGCAGTGAAGGCCATTTGGGTAGAAGGTTTAAGTGAAGATGGTTATAGCTATTATTATAATACAGAAACAGGAGGTAAGAATTATCTTTGATTTTTCTTTTTTTTTTTTTTAATTGTTTTTTAGTTCTTAATGGGACTTTATTTTATTCATTTATTTATATGCGGTGCTGAGAAATGAACCCAGTGCTTCTCACATGCAAGGCAAGGACTCTACTACTGAGGTAGAACCCCAGCCCTCTTTGATTTTCTTAACTGTCTAAATTGTACCTAAAACTGCTTGTTAGTCTGCTAAAGTTCATCTGAACTTGGGATTTTAGTATGTAATAAACATTTCCATAGAAAGCCTGTATTGCTTTTCGTAATTTAAAAACATTAGTACAGCTGGGCGCAGTGATACATGTATGTAATATCCCAGTGGCTCTGGAGGCTGAGGCAGGAGGATAAAAGCCTCAATAAATTAGCAAGACTCTTAGCAACTCAGTGAGACCCTGTCTCTATAAATAAAATATAAAAAAGGACTGAGAATGTGGCTCAGTGGTTGAGTGCCCTGGGTTCAATCCTCAGTACCAAAAAATAATAATAATAATAACATTAGTACAGTAGAAAAGCAAAAAGATTTCTACTTGTAATATATTGTTCAGTGTATTAATGTTATTCTCAATTGATATGTCATTTGCAAATTTAATAATTTTTACTCTAAAATTACTGGGTTTTGTTATGATTTTAGAAATATGATCATTTCTATGGAAAGTACCTTAGAGATCGCCAATGTTCAATTTTCTTTTCTTTGTTTTTGTTTTTGTATGTGTGTGGGCATTAGAGATTATACCCAGGATTTTATGTTTGTTCTACCATAGCGCTATAGTGCCACCTGCACACCTCCCCCCAGCACTTGAACTTTCTTTTTCCTTTTTTAAAAAATAAAACAAGTTATTTTAGCAGTGGCTAAAATTGTCACATTTTCACTTTGTCTAATGTTTCAGTTGTATAAATATTTATAAAACATGCATAATTACTGCCATCTAAATTTTTCAAATTTATTTCATAAAACTTCAAGTAATTAATTACACTTGGGCCTACTACAGTTAAACTTATCAGTTTGGCTATAGCTTTAATGTAACTTTGGAGGGGTTTTTCATTTTTTAATTTCTACTATTCAAAGACTTCTATATAGCATTAAATCTTTTAGTAAAAAATAGCCCTTTTAACCCTTAAACAGATAGCAAGCAAGCCTGCCCAGTTATAGCAGTGTTTCTATCCAAGTAAAGTACTAACTTTTTATAGAGATAAAACAAAGAGTGATATAATATGGCTTTAGAATTAGACAGATCTAAGCTCAATGCACAACTTCTTCCTTTACCAGTGATGTGTTAGTGAGCCTGTCGTTGAGCCTATAGTCACTCTTCAGTAAAAATAGATGGTCATAGTATATACTCCATGGAGTCATTAAAATTAGGTACCTGTAAAGTTCCCAAAACAGTGCTGGAACATAGGAAGTGCTTAGTAAATTATTTCTTGATAGTTCTTTTTGTTATTTGTATGAAATACAGATAAAGGAAAGTATTTACGAGGCTATTCATACTGATTTGCCCTAAATGATTTCAGCTTATACTTGGAGCATTGATTGTTAATAGCAGGCCTTTCAGCTTTAAAACTACCTCAGTTGGACAGTGAATTGAATAATCACTTATTAAACTAAAAATAGAGAATATTTTCAAGACAATGAGAAATGTTTTCATTTTACTAAAAGCCTAGTGAACCACTAGATGGCAGTGGAGCTGAATCGATTGAAGTCCCCCTCCCACTATCAAAGTGACAGATTATATCCAATCATATCTTCATAATCATATCAGAATGATTTTAGGACTAAGGCTATAGCTCAGTGTCAGAGCGCTTGCCTAGCATGTGTGAGGCACTGTGTTTAATCCTTAGCATCACATAAAAATGAAACAAATAAAATAAAGGCATGATGTCCATCTACAACTACAAAAAAAATTTTTTTTAATGATTTTTTTGTGTGTGAAAATTTCAGGAAATCTTTATGATAAGTAAATTTCAGGGAATCTCACATATGATCCTTATTAGTATGTTTCCTGAAATTGTTATTGGATAAATTGTGAGTCCATAAAAGGATCACCCACTTTTTAAAAAATCTTTTATTGATTTTATTTTTTTAAATACACAACAGCAGTGGAATGCATTACAATTCTTATTACATATATAGAACACAATTTGTCATATCTCTGTATATGAAGTATGTTCATGCCAATTTATGCCTTAATACATGTATTTTAGTGTGTTTTTTTGCATTACAATTCTTAATACACATATATACCACAATTTTTTATATTCTGTTTGTATATAAAGTAGGTTGACACCCAATTCAAGTCTTCATACATGTACTTTGTATAATGATGTCCATCACATTCCCCCATCCTTGCTAATCCCCTACCCCCTTCCTTTCCTTCCCACCCCTCTTCCCTATCTAGAATTCATCTAATCCTCCAATGCTCTCCCTCCGTACCCCACTATGAGTCAACCTCCTTATATCAGAGAAAACATTCAGCATTTGTTTTTTTGGGATTGGCTAACTTCATTTAGCATTATCTTCTCCAAAGCCATCCGTTTACCTGCAAATGCCATGATTTGGGGATCACCCATTTTTTAAGCCTCCCTTTGCTTTGGAATTGTAGATGTAATTTACATCTAGTAAATACCAAGTTGTTTGAAATTCGTTTGTGAAAGATACAAAAGCAAGATGTTTGGAAACTCTTTATTTTAAAACTTCTTAATCAAATAGTAATGTGAAATAGATGCAATGTTGTCATTTAATAATTGTAAATAATAGAAATTATTATAATGGAATTACTTCCAAGTAGAATTGGTTACTAAATAACACTAGTACTAAAATGTGTTGAGCAGAATCCAAATGGGAAAAACCTGATGATTTCATTCCACATACTGGAGATATGCTTTCTAGTAAAATTGATGAAAAGTCACTTGGCACCGTAGAAGACTCCAAATCATCAGATTCACACAGTGATTCTGATGGGGAAAAGGAAGCAGAAGAAAAGGTTTCCACAGAAAAAAAAAAGCTAATAATAAAGTTTAAGGTAGGTTCTTGATTTAATCTTCACAGAATTTTATCAGTTTATAAGAAAGTTCCACAGTCTTTTTTTCAGTCTTTGATATAAGATAGAAATAGAGCTAAGATAGCTGGGGATGTGGCTCAAGCGGTAGCGCGCTCGCCTGGCATGTGTGTGGCCCGGATTCGATCCTCAGCACCACATACAAACAAAGATGTTGTGTCTGCCGAAAACTAAAAAAAAAAAAAAAAGTAGAAATAGAGCTAAGATATATTGGTAGTTCTCCCTCCCAATCCTTGATTTTGCTTTATGTGGTTTCATTTACCCATAGTTGACCAAGGTCTGAAAATAGTAAATGGAACATTCCAGAAATAACAATACATCAGTTTTAAATTGTATGAGAGTGACGTGATGAAATTTCCTTCATTATAGTATGCTATTGTCAGACACAATATCTTTATTTTAATGTGGTGCTGAGGATCGAACGCAGGGCCTTGCACATACTAGGCGAGCGCTCCACCACTAAGCCACAATCCCAGCCCCTACTGTATTGTTTTTAACTCTTACTATGCCTAATTTATTAATTAAACTTTATCATAGGAATGTATGTATAGGGAAAAACACAGAATATAGGGTTCAGCACTATCCATGTTTTTAGGTATCCACTGGGGATTTTAGAATATACCCCCCAAAATAAGGTGAGGCTACTGTATTTTGGTAACTGGATAAATGGCTATACTATTTAGTAATACCTGTTGGAGAACAAAATTCTTAAGTTTATTTGAGACCTTCTAAGTTTAATAAGCCTCTGTAACATTCAGAGAGCTGTCAAAATAGCCTAGTCTGTATGTCTGGACTAGAAATACTATTTGAATATTATTAGCATATTGGTAATACTGTAAATCTCAGAGTAGATGAATAACTAATTTAGTCACTAGGTGACTAAAGCACAGTGAAGGCCAATATCATTGGTTTTGAGACTCATAAAACAGGTCAGAATATTTTAAAGTTTTCTTGGTTAATAAAAGGAGTTTGAATAGAGAGAGATTAGTGCCGTTTGCCAGCATTATCAGTGAATATAGAGTAGTCACCTGAAGTCATTTGATCATGTAAAGAATAATGGAGAGAATAGTATAGAAAGTGGTGGGTGTGATCCTCAGAGGAGATCTTTATTGTGTAAGAATCAAAGTATAAAGTATCATGTCCTCCTTTTTCGCATACTAGAAATGAAATCCAGGGTGCTTTACCACTGAGCTACATTCCCAACACCTTTTTATTTACTTTTTAAATTTTAAGACGGGGTCTTACTAAGTTGCCCAGGCTGGCCTCATAGTTGGTATCCTTCTGCCTCAGACTCTCAAGTTGCTGGTATTACAAGCATGCGCCACACACCAGCTATCATGACCTTTTATGCCTCAGTAAAAATTATTTATTAAGAGAGTCATGGTAGAAATAAATAAATAAAATAAAGATATTGTGTCCATTTACAACTAAAAAATATTTTTTAAAAAGGAGGGAGGCTGCAGTTGTAGATCAGTGGTAGAGAGCTTGTCCTGTACGCATGAGGCACTGGATTCAATTCTCAGCACCACATAAAAATAAATAAAGATATTGTGTCCATTTACAACTAAAAAAAAAGAGAGTCATGGCCTGCAAGCAGTCAGAATTGCTAAGAAAAGTGGACACTGCATCCTAGTCCTATAATACCAACCTTATGAAGAGATGAGTTGACATCCTTTCAAAGAATTGCAAAGGAAACAGTGTCCCAGGCCAGTAACTCATAGCTGTACAGTTTGCAAAGAGGATTAAATCAATACATGATCCACTTGCTAAACTAAGTTACAGAGGTGTGTTATCCCGATGAAGGGATGCCATAAAGTACCATCCCTATCCCTATCCAGGGGCATCTGTGGGAATTGCTTCTACCCCAATGAGGTTTCTTTCTAATTCATACATAGTTGCTAGTTATACAGGCCAGTGAGGCTCTGGCAGTATCCTCAGAGTGAAGATGATTTTCAATTAAATCTTAACAAGTTGAAGGAGTTCTCTAAATAGACATAGCTATAGAAGAGTCTGATTACATAGCATCAAATTCAAAAGGAAAACAATATAAAGGGAGATCACTGTTGGATATGTAAGCTAGGTAAGAAAGCAGAAAAGAGAGACCTAATATGTTAGACATAATGAAAAACGTTCTTGAATGTTATGGTTTAGATCTGGAATGTTCCCCAAGAGCTGCTGTGCTGGGCAGTGCAGCAGTGTTCAGAGGTGAAATGAGTGGACCATGAGGGCTCTAACCTTATCAGTGGATTAATCTACTTAATGGATTATTAGTTTGAATGAGAATGAGCCTAAACTGGAACTGGTCTAGGTGTCTGTCAGTGTATCAATGGATAAAAAAAATGTGGGGTGTGTGTGTGTGTATTTATATATATGTGTATATATATACACATATCTATATGTATATGTGTGTGTATGTGTATATATATATATATATATATATAGAGAGAGAGAGAGAGAGAGAGAGAGAGGGGAGTTTTATTCAGCCATAAAAAAGAATGAAGTTATGTTATTTGCAGGAAAATGGATGGAACTTGAGAACATATTAAGCAAAACAAGGCAAACTCAGGAAGTCAAAGGTTATCTGTTTTCTCTCATGTGGAAGCTGGAGAGGAAAAGAGGGGGCAGGGATTTCATGAAAATTAAAGGAAGATCAGTGGAGTAGAGGGAAGGAACCATGGGGAGGGAGAAGTAGAGGAAAAGGGGAAGTACAAGGGAATGATAGTAGCCAAATTATATTGTAATACTGTGTGCATGTATGAATATGTAAAAACAAATCTCACCATTATACAGAATTATAATGCACCAATAAAAAACATGAAAAAATAAAAATAGAAAAATAATATAATTTGAATACACTTACTGAGAGGTGGTGAAAACTATACACAGGTGGGACGTGACTGGAGGAAGTAGGTCACAAGGGGCATAGCCATGGGGACTATATCTGTCCTTGGCACTTTTCTCTGTGTCTCTGTTTCCCAACTGGTATGAGCTGAGCAGATTTCCTCCACCATGCCCTCCTGTCATGTTATTTCTGCCTTGGAGCCAGCCAACCATGGACTGACCCTCTGAAACCATAAGCCATCTTTCCTTCTCTGAGTTCCTTTTTTTAAAACCAGGGATTGAACCAGAGGCATTTAACCACTGACCCACATCCCCAGCCCTTTTTTATATTTTACTTAGAGACAGGGTCTCACTGAGTTGCTTAGAGCCTCACTAAATTACTGTGGCTGGCTTTGGACTTGCAATCCTCCTGCCTCAGCCTCCCGAATCTCTGGGATTACAGGCATTCACCACCATGTCCAGCCCTTCTCTAAGTTCTTGCCATGTATTTTGGTCACAGTAATGAAAACTAATACATCAGGCATTAAAGTTCTTCCATGTATTATGTACAAATTAAACTATTAAGTGAGATCTAATATATTATTAAGGGTAAATCTGTAAGATGACTTTTAAAAGAAGTTAACTTTTGATTTGTGATAAGCTTTACTTGAAGTGTTGTTTCTTGACTGTTACATTTCAGGAAAAAAATAAAAAGAGTAATGAAGGAACTGACCCAGAAATGCAGAAGGAAAAAAGTATCCCAAAACAGAATTCATCAGGTCCAAATGAAGAAAAACCCAAAACTCTTAAAAAGCCAAATCCATACGGGGAATGGAAAGAAATTAAACAAGAAGTCAAATCTCAGTAAGTACTTAAAACCTTAATCCCACTGTTATTACAAGTATTGCATATTCCAGTACAATATACATGTATTGCAACCATTAATTTCAAGGGTACTATTCTTATTAAAAGTGTAGCCCAGGAACTGGGGGTGTAGCTCAATGGTAGAGCACTTGCCTTGCATGCATAAGACCCCGAGTTCAATCCCTGGCACCCAAAAAAAAAAAAAAACCCTAAAAAGTACAGAGTACTCACTTCTTTATTTCTAGAGTGGTTTTTATTTTAAAATGTAAGGTACTGGTTACTTTTAAAAGGAAGGTAAGGATTGTTTTAATTCTTACCAAAACATGCATGACATTTCTGTTGACCAACTCACACATGTACATGTGCACATTCTCACATTCACCATCATTTTTTTGAGGAATAAATATGTTCATATTCAATAAATGCTTTGGAAGATGCTTTACATATATCATAGGATATATCTAAAGGCAAGAAAAAAGTTTTTGCTTTGTTATTCTCTTGAAAGTAGCTTACTACACTTCAGAATTATAAAGCAGATATTCGATAAACAGACCAGTTCATTATCAGTTAAACAAAATCATAGTAAAGTTTTACATTATTAGTTTATTTGTTCAAGTAAGTTATTTTCTTAGGAATATTTATACCATGAAAGAAAGATGTCACTACCAGTTTCACATTTAGTCTTTCTGCAATGCTTAAAGGAAACTTCAGGTTTAAAAAAAACAAAAAGTATCTACATGCACAAAGGAGTATTCTTCAAAGCCTCAGTGCTTTCAAATGATAATGTAAGATGGTTTCTTTATGTATACTTTTACAGCGAAATGATTGTTAAAGTTATATTTTTTTTTTAAAGAGAGAGAGAGAATTTTTTAATATTTATTTTTTAGTTTTCGGCAGATACAACATCTTTGTTTATATGTGGTGCTGAGAATCGAACCTGGGCCGCACGCATGCCAGGCAAGCACGCTACCGCTTGAGCCACATCCCCAGCCCTTAAAGTTATATTTTAATGAAAAGATGTTTTTCATAAGATAGAGTTATATGAGTATTGGACAGTTCTATATACTCATCTTAGAATTGATTCCTTAAGTATGATATAATATAATACAGCTTAGGACTGCTGTGAAAATGTTATTATGAAATTGTTCAAGTTGTATTTATAGTACTTTTTTTTTTCTCTGTGTACAGGAGGATTAAAACCAGGTGCACTCTACCACTGAGCTACATTCCCAGCCCTTTTTATTTCGAGATAGTGTCTTGCTAAGTTGCCCAGACCTGTCTCAAACTTGTGATACTCCTGCCTCAACCTCTAAAATTGTATTACTAAATGAAATATTAGGAAATATGTGCTGAATGCTACATAGTTTCAGTTACCATGATAAGCATAATGATTCTATATATATTAAAGTTACAGAAATAATAGACTGCTCCATTACTTCAGCTCTTATTTGACTTAAAATAGAAGATGGTCCTACATCGGTACTTCCAAGTTGAGATTTTTTTTTGTTTTACTTGTGATGAATATATGCTGAAATCATTCTTATTAAATCTTAGCCTAGTCAGATAGTTTAATATATAATGGATTATGGTCAACTTCATAAATAGGTCAACCTAGTTTTTTTTTAAAGGGGGTTCCTACCCCAAATTAAAGTATGCATATTTACATTAGTTTTTTTGTTATTGTTTTTTGGTATTAGGGATTTAATCCAGGGGTGCTTTACCACTAAGCCACATTCGTAGCCCTATTTTTTATTTTGAGACAGGTTCTCACCAAGTTGCCTAGGATCTCGGTAAGTTACTAAGGCTGACCTTGAACTTGTGATCCTCCTGCCTCAGTCTCCCAAGTCACTGGGATTACAGGAATTCACACCACATCCAGCTGAATGTTGTAGGAAATATTGAAAATTAAGTATATAAAAATAATTTATTATTCAGTTACCCAGAAATAATACTAACGTTTTTAAATATTTTTCTCAGTATGTTTTCTCATTTTACATTATTAATATTTTCCTGTTATATTAAAGTTTTATAAACACTATTTCAACCTTGATTTTACTCAGCCATTCTTTTTGTTGGGCATTTATTTATCCTTTCTTTTTTTGTACCAGGGATTGAACCCAGGGGCACTTAACTATTGAGCCACATCCCCAGCTCTTTTTATTTTTTATTTTGAGACAGGGTCTTGCTAAGTTGCTTAAGACCTCAGTAAGTTGCTGAGGCTGGCTTTCAACTTGTGATCTTCCTGCCTTGGCCTCCTGAGCTGCTGGAATTATAGGCATGCAACACCATGCCTAGCCCATTTTTAATTTTTATAATGAACTCATTATTATATGGATATCTTTCTCTGTACATGTATCTGACAACAAGTGGAATATCTGTGTAACAGTTACATTTTTAAATCTGTGGCACTGGGATTGAACCCAGGGTTATTCTACCCCTAACTGCATCTTCACTCTCTTTATTTTTTATTTTGAGACAGGGTCTTCCTAAATTGCCTAGGCTGGGCTCAAATTTTCAGTCCTGCCTCAGCCTCTGGAGTCACTGAGATTATAGGCATGAACCACCACACATGGCTGTGAACATTTTAAAATCTTAATACACAGAGTCCACTTATTTTCCAGAAAGAGTATACTGATACTCCATTAGCAGTTTCTGAAAGTTCCTATCCCACTGGATTTTAAATAATTTCTAATTTGGCAAAACATACCTTGTTTTAACTTTTCTTTACTGATAAGGTTGAAAATTTTTTTCATATATTTGTCAGCACATCCCCTCATCAGTCTTGGAGGAGTCGGTATAACATTATGATCTACTGAGATAAATGTTCTTCAAGTTTTATATTATACAGAATGGTTCTTTTTTTGTTTTCTGAACTATCGATACGATTTTGAAATTTTATCTTTGTCCTTATATTCTTGTTTGTTTTGCTTTTGCAATCTTAGCAAATTTCCTAATTTATTCTTACATTGTACAACTGTTACAATAGCTCTAGACCTACCTGTATTTGAATCCACGTTTGTAAGATCTCTAGTCCGGGCAAGGTGGCACATGTCTGTAAATTCCAGCAGCTTGGGAGGCTGAGGCAAGAGGATCATGAGTTCTAAGCCAGTCTCAGCAACTTAGCAAGGCCCTAAGGAACTCAAAGAGAGACCCTGTCTCTAAATAAAATAAAAAAGAAAAAGGGCTGGGAATGTCGCTCGGTGGGTAAGTGCCCCTGGGTTCAATTTTCAGTTAAAATAAAAAAGAACTCTCAATACTTGTCTTCATAGCTCTTTCTGCATAATCTAAATGTGGAAGAAGAAATTTTGTTATCCTGTCTTTCTGTTTAAGATCATTGAACTGAATAGCATTTGTTGAAATTTTTAAGTCTTATCAAACAACCTAAAAAAATCACATTACCTCTAAACTGCAATTATCAGAATTGATGAGGGCTCACAATTTTCATTTTATTGTTTTTGTTGTAGAAGTACATATAATGTACTCCAGTTTTCTTTTCATTTGCAAATGACAGAATTTTACGTATGTCTGGAAGAAGTTTCAAGTGTAGCTGGGGATAGGGGCTTGAATAAAATGATCAGGACACTGTCTGTCTCTATTACCGCTCTCCTTTCCTTTGAGTTGACCACTTTCCAGGCAGGCTCTTCCCACCTGATGGCAAAGCTTTAAGTTTATGTCATACTTAATGTAAAGTATCCCAGCAAAAATAGAGTGTTTTTTTATTGGCAGTTCCTGAATTTGTCCTACTTAACTTTTATCATGTACACAGTACCCATTCCTGAGCTAACTACTGAGTGGACATGAACTGAACTCAGAATTCATAGACTTAGAAAGACGGAAAAGTAGTTCCCCAAAATACAAGTAATAATAATAATAAAGAGAGTTGTAGTACTAGAAAAATGGGAATGAGGCATTAGAAGAGTCAAAATAAATGTTTCTACTCCAAGTGCCTAGTGTAGTATGTGGCACATAGTAGACATTCAGAATATTTTAGCTTTCCCTGTGTTCTAATTTTTAAGTTGTTAAATATTTTTGTTTTCTCCTTCTTTTAATTTTTATTTTTTGGTACCAGGGATTGAACCCAGAGGTGCTTAACCACTGAGCAACATCCCCAGCCTTTTTTTATATTTTATTTAGAGACAGGGTCTAACTGAGTTGCTCAGGGCCTCAATAAATTGCTGAGGCTGGCTTTGAACTGGAGATCCTCCTGCCTCAGCCCGCTGAATCACTGGGATTACAGGTGTGTGCCACAGTACCCAGCTCTCCTTTTTTAATAAAATTTGCCAAAGGATTTTTTGTTTATCCTCAGTAAACCAGCTCTTAAATTTAATTATTATACTTTGTTTCTTCATTTCTTGTTTTTATCATTTTCTTGCTCTGACTTTTCTTAGGTTTCCTGTTTTTCTTACTCTCTTTGGATGAACACTTAGAATATTGACAAGAGATGAAAGAGGGTCTGTTCTTGTTTCCTAATGAAAAGTTAAAGCAATTGATTTGTCTCTAAATGTAATTCTGCCCATAAACCCCATAAACTTGGAATGAACAGTCCTTGATGTCATCATTTTTGGAATAGTTTTTAATATAGTGTTTCTGCATAATTTTTGAATTGGTGGTTTTTCAGGTAGATGGGAAGCCTTTTTGGTTCTTTTTTCCCCCCCCACTTTTATTGCAGTATGTCTCAATATAACCTTTACAGTTTTTGCATGTTGAATTTGGAAATGATTCTGGTTTTGTGGAGGTACATATATCATTGTTTTTTGTAACTGTTCCAGTAATTCAAAAAGATTCTGTAATGTTCTGTAGTATACTGTACTTGTAGTCAGGACCAATCAACTGATTATTTATAACAAACCATGTGGATGGTTGAAGAACTAGGTTTTTAGAAAAGGTGTCCTAGGCAAACAGCCACACTGTCTTCTGTGTTAGGATATCAAGATTCCATGATTTTCATCTTCTGTATAATCCTTCAAAGTCCTTTTCAATTATGGCAAAATCAGTTTCCATAAATACCTCTCCCTTATGTATCTACTGGTACTGTATATCTTATATAAGCACGGGCATTTTCTGTAGTAGAAATAAAAGACTAATAACTGAGACTTTTTGTAGGAAAAAAGTTGATGTTCCACTTGATAAGAATTCAGTCTCTTAAATAAAATTGTAAAGTCTGTATTTTAAAAGTTTACTACTTCAAAATGACCACCTTCTAACTTTTCACCATTAGTCATCATTAGGTGATCTGGGGGCTTTGGTGGCAAACATTTGTCTTATTCTGTCAAATAATGGTTTTATTTTTGCTTTCTGTTTCAGTGAAGAGGTAGATTTGGAACTTCCAAGCCCTGAAAATGAATATGTGTCAACTTCAGAAGGTGATATTGGGGAACCCAAAGTGGTATTTAAAGAAAAAACAGTTACTTCTCTTGGAGTTGCAGCAGATGGTGTGGCCCCAGTTTTCAAAAAGAGAAAAATCGAAAATGGAAAGTCTAGAAATTTAAGGCAACGAGGTGATGATCAATAATTGTAAAAGCATTTTATATGTGTGTTTTGGACAGAATGGAGACTTACTCTTCTTAAAGCTTCTCTGTGCTTGTTGTTGTACACTGATGCTAAAATTGACTTATTCTAAATGTATTTTATGTGAATTAAAATAATAAATCTTTTTTTATGTGAAATTTATTTTTGTTCCTAAAATGGAAACCTACCATGTTGCATTGTAATACAGTGTATTATGTTGGGTGTCTAAAAATTGTTAATTATGCCATCATTTAAGATGCTATGTATCTGTTATTTAAAACATGGAAATATAAGATAAGACCTTTATTCTTATTCATATGGACATACTTCTTCTGCATTGAAAATGCACTGTTTTTGCAAACTCATATTAACTGTTACCTAAGAAATAAGAATCAAGCCATATAAGAGAAGATTCAGAGCCCAGTAACAATTCAGTTCCAAGGATCCTTTAGAAGGCTGATGTAAAAAATGTATGTATATTGGCATACCATACTCAATTTAAGGATAAAGGCTCAAACCAGGAGCCTCTTGGGTACTTCAAATATAGAACTTGAAGTAGAGCAAAAACTAGACCAAAAATAAAAATATGTATTTGCCCCCAGTTCAGTTCAAGGCAACAAATATTACTTGCATTTTAACTTTGAGCTCCAGGCATCATTCCAAGAACTTGGGATATAAAATAGATAAAAGAAACACATCCCAATTCTAAGGTAGTTCACATTCTAGAATAGTTTTTTTTTTTTTCCCCCAGTCATGCCATCTAGCAATCTTATAAACATACTGGAAAATATTTTTTAAGGTTTATTTAAAGCTGTGTAGAGCCAGACATGGTGGTGCACGCTTTTAATCCCAGTGGCTTAGGAGGCTGAGGCAGGAGATTCACAAGTTCAAAGCCAGCCTCAGCGACTTAGCGAGGCCGTAAGTAACTCAGAGAGACCCTGTCTAAAAATAAAATATAAAAAAGGGCTGGGATGTGGCTCAGTGGTTGAGTGCCCCTGGATTTACTCCCCAGTACCAAAAAATTTTTTAAAAGTGTGTAGATAAAGATTTGAACTAAAATAGTAAGGTCTCTGACTTTAGTAATAAAAGTTTTTAGCGTTCACTTAGACATACTACAAATTCCCCATTTTCTGGTTAAATTTCCTATTTGAAGTCGGTACCTCTCTTTAGTGCTTCTAATTCTTTAAATTTTATTTTTCATAAATTGTACAGTATTTAACTTTTGTTAGCAAATATTTGTTTTTTTACAATTATTAGTATACATCTAAGGAAACAATAGTTTATTAAAAACTTCTTGAAAATAATTTAAATACTGGGTTTTTTTTCCTTCTAATATTAAGAGTCAAATTAGCATTGGTGAGATAGTATTTGGAGATTCGTCTTTATGTTTGTTCCTTCTGCTTATTTGGATACTTTGTGAATGGAAAAGCCTAAACTTGCCCCTTTGTTATGAAGAAGTATTTTTTTTTTTAAAGAGAGAGAGAGAGAGAGAATTTTAATATTTATTTTTCAGTTTTTGGCGGACACAACATCATTGTTTGTATGTGGTGCTGAGAATCGAACCCGGGCCACACGCATGCCAGGCGAGCGTGCTACCGCGTGAGCCACATCCCCAGCCCATGAAGAAATATTTTATAGTTCACTTGTCAGGTAGCTAAGCAGTACATTTTGATCCTTTACTTTTCTCAATTCTCAATTGGAAAAGATAAATACAAGTGGAATGCTCCTATACTTATATTTAGCTCCTACAAAATGCAGTATTGAAGACGTTTTTTTAAACCACATCTAATTATGTGAAGTATTTCTCTTTAAAAGGTTTTCTGTTTGTTGAGAAAGGGTCTCACTAAGTGCATTAGGACTTCAATAACTTATTGCGTCTGGCCTTGAATTTACTATTCTTCTGTCTCAGCCTCTAAATTGCTGGGATACAGCCATGTGCCACTGTACTGGGCTTTTTTTTTTTTTTTTTTAATGCGTTCTTCTTATGTTTCCCTGAATGACCTTGAACTCCTCCATACAGAGATACACATGTCCTCCTACTAAACTATACCTTCAGCTCTCTTAGATGCACTTTTTTTTTTTTTTTTTTTTGCAGTATGAGCGAATCAAACCCAGGGCCTTGCACATGCCAGACAAGTACTATACTCTGAGCTACCTTCCCAGTGCTGTAGATGAGTTTTTTTAAGAAAGCTAACTCCTTTACCTTCAAAATTAGATACTGTTCTCATAATAATATCTCTAAATCTTGAACTAAATCAGATTTTAAAGATTACTCAGAAAATATGTTTTGGTGTTTGATACCAATATATTTTATATATTATAATATACATTATAAATGTAAATATCCAAATAATAGGGGTTTTTTATTCCAGTAATCTCTGACCCCTCCCCCATGATCAGAGGTTTTTTTTCCTCACCGTGTTAACACTGGATGTATACGGATAACCTTTCTGACACTGGGATTCTTGAGGTAAACTGGTAAAATCGCATTCAAAGAAGCATGGTCACCGAGTGTGGTGGTGCACACCTATAATCCCAGTGATTTGGGAGACTGAGACAGGAGGATTGCAAGTTCAAAGCCACCCTCAGCAACTTATCAAGACTTTGTCTCTCAATATTATCAATTCTGAGAACTGTACTAAGAAACAAACCTATCAGATTTTTATGTTAAGTAGCTATAATTAAAATAATATGATTGCTCATATATAGGCACAACATATATATAAACTAGAGTTTCTGGGTGTCTGTTACTATGCCAGTACCATACTGATTTAATGTGTTTTTATAATGTTTTTAACTTCTGGTAGAGCAAATATCCTCAAACAACCTTTCTTTTTCAAAATGTTCATGGTTCATATTCATTTGTTATTTCAAATAACATTTTATCAAGTTGTCTCCTCTGCTCTTCCCAAAGTGTTGTGATTTTATACTCCACCTATTGAGTTGGCAATAATTACCATCTTTCTAACATTCATTCATCTCATAAATATGTGTTTTGTCATTTAGTTCTTTTTGGGGGGTGGGGAGGGGAATACCAGGGATTGAACTCAGGGGCACTTGACCACTGAGCCACATCCCCTGTCCTTTTATTGTATTTGTCTGGCTTTGAACTCTCAATCCTCCTACTTCATCCTTCTGAGCTGCTGGGATTACAGGTGTGCACCACCATGGCCCCATACCTGGCCATTTAGTTCCTTTTTGTCTTTAAAGTTTTGTAGGGGCAGGAGAGCATGCCCAAGGCAATCCCCACCACCAAAAAAAAAAAAAAAGTCTTAAGTATTACAGTTTTCTTCATAAAGACCCTGCACATTTCTGGAAATGGAAGCTCCTTGAGGGCAAGTGCTTTGTTTTGTTCCCAGAATATAGACCAGAATCTGGCATATCATAACATTTATTGTATAGATGTCATTTTCACCTGTCAAATACAAGATCAAATAATTGGATAATATTGGTGAAGATGTGGAAAATTGATAATCCTATATACTGCTAGTGAAAGGATATGTATTAATCTTTTTTTTTTCTGTGTTTTATAGTGTTTTGACATCTTAAAAAGCTTGCTAACAAAGTTGAAACTGTCCTTCCAGCATAAGCCCTTTCTTATACATGGACACAATATCTTTATTCTCTTTATTTTTATGTGGTGCTGAGGATCGAACCCAGGTCTCACATGTGCGAGGCGAGCGCTCTACCGCTGAGCCCTATAAGCCCTTTCTTAAAGATGGTGAAGATACCACTGGTGCATTCTCTCATATACAAAGCAAGCAGTTCTTAGTTTGTTGTAGTTCCACCCACCTCATCTAACACAAACAAGCTGATATGGGGGTGGTTCCAAGACCCCTAGGGACACCAATATCCTCAGATTTTCAAATCCCTTACATAAAAAGGCATAGTGTGTACACATAACCTACACATGTCCTCAGCATACTTTAGATTACTTAAAATACCTAATGTAAGACCAAAAAAAAAAAAAAAAAAAGACACAGTATTTTTCATCCACCGCACGGCCTGCAAAACAGCCTACTATTTATTGATGCCTAAGTAAGAAAGTGGATTGGAGATTTCAGCAGAGAATGTTTGCACATTTTACTTCTCTCTCTTTTTCTCTCTCTCTCTCCCTCCCTCCCCCCCCCCTCTCTTTCAGAGGAAAAGTTTATCACTGTTTCAGAGGTCTCAGTCCACAGATGGTCAACTCCACTCCTCAGAGTAAGCCAGGACATCATGAAGGAAGGTTGTGGTGGAGGAAAGTGGCTTTGGATATGACAGCAGAAGCAGAGAGAGCAATTTGGACATTTTAGTACTCAAATCCTTAGGGGCACGGCTGGGGTGGTAGAAGAGCGTTTGCCTAGCATATGTGAAGCACTGGGTTCAATTCTCAGCACCACATATAAATAAATAAAGGTCCATCAACAATTAGAAGATATTTTTAAAATATTTTTTAAAAAATAAAGAAATTCTTAGGGCCAATAGTCCAGGACAAGGAGGGCTCCACTGTGCCTACAAGCAGGAAAATATATACAGAGTAGGTTGTGTGCCTTTTGCACAAATGAATTTCTTCAGATGTTTTATAAATGCATTCTTTTTCTTTACAACCAAGATCACTCTGTTTTGATCCCTACCTAAAGATTCAGATACAAGGGAAGTGGCCAGTTTCCTTCTTATCCTCATTATCACTTTCTTTCAAGTCCTTATATCTCTAGCAGGAACTGCAAGACTTCCTAGGCACTAACTGTTGTTTACCCCAACAAACACGGTCCCAATTTTTTCTGAAAAAAAAATATTTTTTTGTTGTAGATGGACCCAATACCTTTATTTATTTATTTTTCTGTGGTGGTGAGAAGCGAACCCAGTGCCTCACACGTGCAAGGCCAGTGCTCTACCACCACGCTACAACCCCAGCCCTTACTGAATGTTTTAATCCACAGTTTATTAAATTCATGGATGCAGAACCCAAAGATACAGCAGGCCAACTTTTAATTCCCTTACCCTAAATTATTCTGACACACAAATATCAGGTAACTAGAGACCACCCCATTGCCCAAAGCCTGACAGAACTATTCAAATTAGCTAATCCTAAACTGTGTACACTGTCCTGCCTTGACTTATCCCCTATAATTATCCCCTATAATTCCCAATGAAGGCTCAGACCTGGACTTTTCTGTCCA